CTGACAATAGGCCCCCTGCATTGCTCAGCTGTGAGAAGTACTATTTCCTAACACCTGTGAGTTCAAGCCCACCCATGCCAGCTGGCTGGGCATAGAAAAGAAAACACCCTAGGCAAAACCCCCAGCTTTCCTCATCTGAACCAAGTCTGCCTGTGGCTGACCGGAGTCCAGAGCCCACTCCTGCCTGTTCTCAGCAGATCACCGAACCTCCTACATCACTGAGAAAACCTAGGCCAATAGTTCTCAAAACCAGGATTCTGGGCCAGTACTGCAAGTATCACCTGAGAGTTTGTCAGAAATACAAAATCTCAGAACTTCCCAGATCCTATAGACACAGAAGTCTGTGTTTCAAGAAGTCTTTCTCGTGCTTCTGATGAGTCTAATACTTGACAGTGACATCTTCAAAAATGAGGTTCTTCTATTTTTCTCCTTGACATTTCCACTAAATTCATTCCTTTCTTCCATGGATTTACATATCTCAAAAGAAGACATTTTGCGCTTCCTGAGCCCGTCCTTTTGCCCTGTGCACCGTGTATCATACTCCACATCAGTTACCAACTGGCTCTCTCATTTTCAGTCTTTCCTGACCGACAGGCTCCTTCTCCTCAGCGTATGTGGGCAATTTTCCACCTAACACCTTCCCTTGATCCTGCTTATGCCCAACCAGCTTCTAGTCTTACCTTCATTTTGCCCACAAAAATACTGAAAAAGTAAATTTTATTGCTATCCTTTCTTTCTCGGCTGCCATGCATGCTTCTTTCAAGTTTTATGTATTTGTCATCTTTATCACTTTTTAATATAACATTCACTATGCAAAAAACACTGTACCAACAGAGCCAGAACGTCACCAACACATAGCTGGGTATTCCTCCCCAGACTTCTGCCTTCCTGGGTAAATGCAGTGCAGTCTGAGCCCAGTCTCTGGACTGAGTCAGCAGCTGCTGGAGTTCAGGATATTGATTTATCCAGAAGTCTTCTGTCAGTCTTCAGGACACTTGCATTTTGGGTAGCATGTGTCTTTGATAACCAAACCTTCTCCACGGCTCAACTCCTGTTTTATTTTTTTCAGAATAATTCTCTACTGTACTTTCACTTGCTCCTACTTGCTTGCTTATCTTGGGCCTTCTCCCTCGCTTGCTCTTCCCTCTCTGACTCTGCCTTTATTCCTTAGTCTAAGTCCTTAGTTCCAGATAAGATTGACACTAACTCATCACAGTATGCTTGGTCTGGAAAAGCTCACTTTTTCCCCTACTTCATTGCTCCTTGCACGTATGAACTCCATCTACAACTGCACACGCAGGTTGCTGACTACACACACATTGGTAAAGATGCTGGGCAGTGTCCACTTGGCACTTGTCCAGTGTGTTTTAAACTCACTCTGCTCAAAACTGAGGCTGTCTTCTTTCACTTCATGCTTGGCTTTGTTGTCACTGTCCACGGCATTACCATTCATCCAGCTGATCAAGTCAGAAACCTCTACATGATTCAGGCATGACTTCTTCCCCCTCCAAATCCACATTCAACTCAGCACCAATTCCCACTATTCTAGCCCACTACTGCTCACATTTTCCTCTTCCTTTCCATTTCACAGCTCCCCCCTTATTCAAGTCCCTCAGCATTTTTCACCCACCACACTCTGAAACTTTCCTCACTAGCTTTACAACACCCAGTCTCTCTTACCAAACAACCTCAATACTGTCCCTTATAACCCCACCAACATACACATCTGTATTCACATTAGTTAAAAAAACTTCAATGGCTTTCATTTAGATCCTTCACGATCTGACCCCTGACCACCTTTCAAACTTAGTTTTTCCAGCTTTTTATTCAAGCCACATCTCCACCCACACCTGCTCACCTGACCTGCACACCCCATGAACACTTGCATTCCTTCAGTGTATCACTCTGCGTCAAAATGCTGAATAATAGTCCACCGCATGGATGCATCATAATTTACTTATTAACTCAGCTACTAAAGGATGTCCTTGGTTGCTTCTGAGCTTTGGTAGATTTCTTTTCAAATAAAGCTATTATAAACATTTGTGTGGAGGTCTTAGTATAGATACTAATATCCATATAAACTATATGGGAATTTATCCATATTATGGTAACACTATGGCTAGCTTTGCAAGAAACTACCAAGATGTCTTCCAAAGTGGCAGTACCATTTTGTATTCCCATCAGTAATAAATGAGTACTTTTTGTTGTTGCTCTGTATCCTTGCCAACAACTAGTATTACCAGTTCTCTGAATATTGGCCATTCTACCAAATGTGTAATGGTGTCTATCACTGCTTTAACTTATAATTCTCCAATAGCAAATGATGCTGGACATCTTTTCAAATGCTTATTTGCCATCTGCATATCTTCTTTGCCAGGGTGTTTGTTCATATCATTTGCCCATTTCCTAATTGGATTGTTTTCTTATTGTATTGTTTTTAATGTTTCTTGTATGTTCTTGGGTACATCTTTTATTAGATATGTTCTTTAAAAATATTTTATTCAACTCTAGGCTTTTTTTTTCATTCTAGAAACATTGTTTTTCACAGAAAATAAGTTCTGAATTTTAATGAAGTCTAATTCATCATTTTTTACTACCATAGGTCTACTCTTGGTGTTATACTAAAAGCTCAATGCAAAAATGAAAGTAGCCTAGGTTTTCTCCTATGTTATTCTCTAAGAGTTTTATACTTTTGTGCTTTGCAGTTAGTAATCTGATCCCTTCTGGCTTAATTTTTGTGAAAGAAATAAGATTTGTGTTCAGTTTTACTCGATGCACTTAGGTGGCTAATTGTTGCAGCACCATTTATTGACAATGTAGAGCTTCCTCCATTGAATTAGATTTGTCTTTTGCCAAAGATCAATTGACTATATTTTGTGCATAAATTTGGGGGCTATTTTATTGCACTGATCTGTTCCCTCTTTTGCAATACAACTGGTTCTGGAGTCTTCCAGCTTTAACTGTTGGTCTCTTCCCCCTCTCTTTCCCTTCTTTACCCTTCCTTTTTCTCCTCCTCTTCCTTCTTCCTGGCTAAACAACACAAAGTCTGGATAACAGCAAATTCCTCCACTTCACCCTACACTGTTTCTAGCCAGTATGAGGCTGCTGAGAGACATGGTTTCTAGTTTTCAAAGGCCTTAATGGATAATCAAGAGGAGGGAACTTGCTGATTACCTAACATGTTTTTCATTAAGTTCAGTACCTTTTAAACAGTAACTCATTTGATCCTCTCAGTAGCCTATGAAGTAAGTACTGTCCCTAACTCTGTATGCATAAAAAGATTCAACATAGGAGAGGCAACTGAGCCTGCCTCAAATATTAGAATCTAGATTTGGTACTTCTAAGGAAGGCACAATTCCATAACTCCTAAAATATCTTTGAGTTAAATTACCCAAACTCTATATGATACATTTTACCCAGGGTTTTACTCAAGATACCAAACAACAGACACTGCTCCAACATTCACCGAGACCAAACTTCTACTTGCCAGTCATCACTTCACTGTTGCTGGATTGTGGGGAATCTGGGGGCTTCTGGGAGAAGTCTTGGCTGGCATGGGCAATCAGAGAGCTTAGGGAAGCATACTTTTATCAGCTGGTGTGATAGCATTTTAATATTTTAACCACTGCTATAACCATTGGTATACCAGTGCCAACTTGCCGAAAACTAAATACAGAAGTATCATTTTCAGTGCTAGGAATGGAACCCTGGGCTTCCATCATGCTAAGCAAATGCTCTACCACTAAGCTACATTCTCAGCCCTCTAGAAGTCTCTAGGGCTCCAAACCTACAATTATGCAGACACATAACCAAAATTAATCACCTGGAGGTATGTGACCAAGCAAGCTTTACAGAAGCAGCATACCCATTTCTGTTCCTCATGATTGGCAATAAGTGTAATAATGTTGATTCAGTGCTTCTCAAAGTTCTAGCCCATGCTCCCTGCAGTGTTTTAGCTTCTCTACTATACACAGATTGTTTGATGAACCTTTTCATGTTGTGAACTATGATACCTGGAATTTCAGTATGGTAAATAAACACAAGCTAAAAGATGTCCTCTACTCTTCCAAGAGCTCATAATGGTCTACTCATGAGCACTGTAGACTCACATGTGGCAAGGTCCAAGGTACACGGCACATCACACCAAAAAAATTCATCGATACCACAATTTATTGGAATGATGTTGTGAAATGATGTGTTTAGTCCTTCCTTTCAATAAATGATTGAAACAAAAAGTGATTTTAAAAGTATCATAGTTTTATAATTTAAAACTTTACATAGAGAAAATACTTCTCCTTACAGTGATAAGATCCCATGTTGTATATACAAGCCATTATTGGAAAATAGTTGAAAATTATGCAGAGAGGAAAAAAAGGCATGAAAGTGCCAAGAGCTAAGGCATGCTAAAGCACACATCTGGCGGGTCACGGCACAACCCTAACCATGGCTGTAAGAAGTCACGTTCTTAACCTTTGAACATTCGTCCAAGAGAGCCTCTTGCACAAGTAAGACTGTGAAAAGTCCGGACATCTCTCCACACAATTCTCCTTCCTCTTTCAATTTACACTGAAGTGTTTTATAGATAATCAAAAATGAGATTAGCAAAGTAGGATTATAATAAAAAGAAGCTAGGGATACGTGCAAAGTGTAGTAGACTGAAATGAGTTTGCTCTTGTAAATTAAAAAGTAATTCTGAATCGTATTTTGGAAACAAAACTGACCCTAGGCAGGAATTTTGTGTTTCCTTGACATGAATGTGAATGCTTCTCATTCCTTCCTCGCTGGGCTCTCTAGAACATGCTTCTTTCATCTAAAGAAGCAGAAAATACTATGACTGTAAAAGATCTTATGTTGCTATGTTTGCAGAGCAAAATAAATTTTCCCAATGGCAGCAGTCTCAGTTATTCCACAAATAACTAACATTTCAACACCATGAAGTTGCATGTGGAGAAACTGGAAGATAAAGTTGAGAACCGGCCTTCAACCCTGAGGCCACTCACCCTTCCTGGCTCGCAGTGGTGATGGCGATGCTGGGGAGCGTCGTCAGAGGCAGCGTGGTGGGTCTGCAGAGCCCATCTCCCTCGGGGGTCCTCGCCCTGTCGCTCTGCCGCTGAGACAGTGGTGGTAACTGTAAGTTCCCCGAGCAACACCTCCTCCCTCTCCACAGGTCGATCCCAAGAGTGTTACTGGAAGAACTGTAGGATTTACTCAAGCTGCATTCAAAATAATCTCTAACATTCTGGAAGAACCACAGGGAAAGAGGAAAGAAGAAAAGAGAATGAAATTCAAATTTTAAAATACTAGCGTGAAATAAGAAAGGAAACGATCAAGCTGTCGCTTATGAATTTGCGATCGATTTTCTCACAGTGGGAATCTAATGCTGGTGCGAAAAGCGTGGGTCAGTGGGGTGCTGATCTCAACTCCTAAGCACCTGTCAGGCTCGCAGGCCTGGAGCGCCTCAATGACGTTGACCAGAGTGGCACACAGAGGGGAGGGCAGATTCACTCTTTTCATATTTCTTTTTTTTTAATTTGCTAGAATGAAAATTGATAAATTACAAATATAGTCAAGAAGTCAATGTTATTCTGCAACACAAAAACAAACTATAATCAGATATGAAGTTCCTTGTTCCATGTTTTAGAGTGAAAATATTTTCTGTCTTAAGACAGAAGCGTGTTGATAATTGTGGGCAACTGGCTGCTCCTGTTTCTACTTAAAAAGTCTCTTGGTTGGAGATTTTGCTTTGTTCTGTTTTTGTCAAATTCAGTAAGCCCTCATAAAAAGGAGAGAAACGGTCTATCCAGTCCTAGACTGACACACTCGACCGCGTACCCCGACTTATGAAGGGAAAAGCACTGTGTTGTAACCATGATCACAGTTCTTATCCTTCCCACACCTCTCAGGGGTCCCAGTACTGTGGGAGTGGGATTCCCAAGTGAGTCTCTGTCTTGTGCACCATTCATGTCTGCCCAAAGGCAGAAATGCAGTGTCCAAGGAGAGCAACCCGCACCTGAAAAGCTGTGATTCCCCCGCTCCATACTTAACAGGAAATAACGCAACTCTCACCATCAGGCCAAGGTTGCTCACTGAAAATCATCCTAGGGCCCTAGCAAAACAGGTCACCAACATCAGCCCATCAAACCAGACTCAAGAGGACTGAGACCTGGCATCCTAAAGTGGAAGCTAACACAAGTTCTCTACGCCTCTCCTCCACATAACCAACACTACGCCAGTTCATATAAGAATAATAAACCTAAAGCTGAGGGTCTTGCTGAGTTCACTCAACAAATATTTGATGCACATTTATTGTAGCTTTGCACTGTGCTACTTAAGAAGGATTCAATCACAGAAAGAAGCCTGGCATCTCCTCTCACAGAAATGCATTCTGGCAATTGACACGCATCTGATCCACACAAGACCATAAGCTGATGACAGAAATCTGGGCAAGAAAAGCCTGGAAGATTTTCAAGAGTCCACTCTTCCTACCCGGAAATGGGTTATCATTCCATTTTCACATGCTTGACTTACAGTTTTGAAATATCACGTATTTGAAGTTCAGTAGAACTACAATTCAGTAACAGGAAGTAGACAATGATCTAGAATTTTCTAGGGTATGAAATATCCTTAGAATATATCAGGCTTATTGCTTAGTGACTTGTTATTACAGCAAATCCACTGTGGGCCTAGCATCACCTAGGCCTGTGTGTGTGTGTGTGTGTGTGTGTGTGTGTGTGTTTGTATGTCTGTCTGTGTGTGTTAGAAATTAAAGTCTAAAGGGAAAGCTTAGAATATATGTTTCTTTCTTAAAAGACTGACAAACTAATTGAAAAGAAAAACCTTCCTAAAGAGATTTAAGGACAAACTAAAAGCCAGAAATCATAACTGTAAATAATCAGTCTAGTTCCAAACACACACATAAAAAAAGTTACAGTTAGTTACGTGGAAAGCAGTTTCAAACATGCTATTTACTTCTTATGAGAGAAACATCATCTTAAAGAACAGAAATAAAGATATCATTTAGCTAAACCACTAGTGCCTCCTAATACAGTTATTGGACATTTTTCTCTTTTAGGAATGGAAAATATTACCAACCAGGTGTAGTTGCAGTAAAGAAGCTAAATGGGTCCTTATTTTCTACTTGTTATTTGAAATGCAACTAATCACTCCTGCCACAAAATATCTCCCACTTTAACTTTCCATGAAACTTGAACTTACAGACTTGAAGTCATTCTTTGAATTAAAAGGATTTCTTTAAGAAGACCCCAGTTAATATGAAATGCATTGCCACGAAAGAGAAGATTAATGGAGTAGCTTTTCAAAAACTAAATTAAATACTGGAAACACTGATATTGTCTTTAAAACACTTATTAACTCCTGCCGAGTTATTCATAATTACTTAAATTCTATAATTCATACCTGTAATTTATACTACTCTCCTCCCAAATTATGAACAACTTCAAAAGCTAAATGGAATTCAGTCATTTCTCAAAGGTTGACATTGCAGTCTCAGGCTTATTTTCCTGTTTTAACCAGTATGACCTGGCCACATTCATGCCAGTATCAGGGATTTTTGAGAATGGAACATTAATCTGAATGCTGTCTCTGGAAATTACAACTTTTAAAATGCATCCTAATTTGCAAATGTACCCGATCACTGCATAATCCCTCAAGAAACAACCTAGTTTTGGATTAACTGTAACTTCCTGTATACATATTTGCTTACAAATCATTATTTTTGCTAATGTACTTACAAAGAGTTATCACAAAGAAAAAGCTAGAGTGAAATCCTGCATCTGTGTAGGAGAAGCTTGTAGGGAAGAGGGCAAGGGGACACAGAAGGGACCGATTTCTGTCCATCCTCATATCAAGGCCAAGACACCTGTCCAGGTTTTTGTGCATAAGTAACAAAGGGTTTATTGCTATTGTTATGTTTGTGTCTTTGGTCTAGTTCAGTCATTTTGAGAGTATTCCTAATTTACTCCTTCCAGTTAAACTCACAACTAGAAAATAGACAAAGCGTTTCCTAAAGGACATGTGGTGTTTGTTCTTCGGGTCACATCCTATTTGGACCACAGACCAGTGATGTTCAAACCCTGTGAAACCACAGATGGAAATGACAGGAGGCATCCATGGGCACAGAGAGCCCCATCGAGGCTAAATATCAAGATGGTCCATGAAACAATAACAAAAGTAATTTTTCCTTTGAAAAAATGTGATTTTATCAAGACAGTCATCCTCAATTCCAACCATTGTTTGCCTGGAAGTAATTCTTGTCGCTGTTACTGGCTACTTTCACTTCTTCAAAACAATTTCCTAATGTCCTTGATTAGAAATGCAAAACTACAACTAGAACACGGACCTGGATATCTGTGCTTCTGTTAAAATTGTATATGCACACTTACATACGTACCTATTACGTGTAACTACACATCCATGCATACATTAACATATATAATATATATTCATTCTCCCTCTTTTGCCATATACTGGTTCTTCTCTCCTCGACCTTTTAGTCGCTTTTCAACACCTCTCCACGCCTCCAGCTCCCTACCCTGTAAATAATCCCGTTAGTCACAATTGTGCTCAGTACTTGGATTGCATTTCATTTACCTCTTACTTCTAGAATTTATTTCCCAAATGCGGAGCACTGAACGCCCACTGTGCTTATGACATCCATCACACCTAGTCTCCTACTGCAGGCGCCTTCCCACTACAGCAGCATAGCCGGCACTCGGGTTCCATTCACCCTCGCATTCCCGACACCAAGCATTGTCTGCAGGCCGGAAAGGCCGCTGCAGCCTCTGCTCCGTTACCGGAAGTGTTCTTTCCTCAGACTCTCACAGGGCCGGGCTGTTCTCTGCACATCTGTCAGCCCCTCACACCCTCCTCCCACAAATCCCGGTCCTCACCACTCAGTCGTGCTTCGCACCCCTGCCCAGCTTCATGTTCTCTGGAGCCCTTATCATAGCTGGATTGTTTTATAATTCATTTCTCTTTCCCCCGGGACTGTAAGCCCCAAAGGGATGGAGACATTATGCTTCATCTCGCTGACTCTCTAGCACTTAGAACCGTATTTGACTCAGGTAGGTGACACATTAACATTAAATGAATGTTAAGTTGCGGAATAAAATTTTTGCTGAATTAAAATAACACCTAATGTAATAGAACGTCCCTGACTTATGGGTGAAATTTTCTGTCATGGGTATGGAAAATGAAACATAATCTGCTGACCTGGTGCTGTGGTAAGGGAAGAAGTGGCTGTAAAACATGCAGTCTGATCTCCTGCCCTGTCCTGAAAGGCCGCGTGTGGCCCACCAGGAACCCGGGCGAGCCACGACAGGGCTGAGGGCACCACTGCGCATTCCCTAACACAGGAGTCACATTCAAATTATACAGAAGCGGGTGTATTTTTATTTTAATAATACATTTTATTCAGCCCATCATTCTAAATTTTATTTAAATTTTAGTTAGCCCATCATTCTATCTAAATATTATCATTCCAACACACAATCAATATCATTATTAAACATATTCATTTTTAAATATTTGCAGCATATGTTTAAAATTCAATGTCTACTTTATGCTTATAGCATACATATTTCCATCCAGACTAGTGCTTAATAATCACATGTTGAGAGGCCACCTTCCTGACTAGGATAAATCCAGGGAGTACTGATCTAGTCTGTTTTAGGCTTTCTTTTTTTATTTTTCAGGTTCTTGCTAACAGACTTCTTTCTCTTTTAATTGTGGCAACCATTCCTTCAGGATTATTTCTCTTCAGGATACGGTGAGGAAGAAAGAAATGGTTTGACCTTCATTTGTGAACACTGCTCAGTTTTAATCTCCCAAAACTAGACTCTTAAGAGCACACTGTTTGTAAATAGTATTAAGTGACACTCCCAAGCTCTTTCTTCTTTTTTTTTTTTTAAGGGAAAAAGAATTTCTAAATTCCAGAAGTTTCTCTATGCAGATTCTAAGCTGTGCACGGAAATCTGAACGTAACTTTTTGTCACTGGTATGGAGAAGTTAGCATATAACAGGGGGCATTCCCTTTGTGCAGGTGCAGGGAGAGAAGAAAACAGAGATGCTGTTATAGGCGAGGAAAAAGAACAGGTGGACCAGGTTCTTCAACACAGAGTGGAGGTGCCAGTGGCAAAGGGGTGGGTTTTAGAGGCCAGACCCTAACAGCACACCAAAATGTGGCTCTGCACACCAGAAGCTCACAGCCCTGGGGGCACAGGAGGACGCTGGGACTGAGGACCAGCACCCTGCCAAGGGTTTGCTGCAGCATAAGGTGCAGGCCAGGAAGTGAGTCCTCAAAGATATGAGCAGGGCAGTCAGCTGGGCTAAGTCTTTAAAGGACCAGAGAGGTTGGAGTGGCACCTGGGCAGTGTCTGAGACATTCCACATCTCGTGAGCTGAGAAGGTGCACTGCTCTTGCCGACAGCACCGTGCCCTGCACACGTGCCACTACCCCAGGCAGGGCTGGTGCAGGGCACACACCGACAACAAAGACCTGGGAACACGAGCCACTCTGAAACTGGATAGCAGCAGAGCCAGTGGAAAAGGCCAGTGCAGTAGACAATGCCACACACCTCTATTCCCCTTCCACTAGGGCCTATCTATGCATTTCCAGTAAACACCCAAGAGAATCTAATTGCTGGCAGCAAAGGGTCCTCCATTTGCCCACACACCAGGTAACTTGAGGGAAGGGGTAAGAGTTGAAAGGAACCCTGAAAGACACACATTTTCCAAGACAGCGCTTCCCATTAATTGGCAAGTTCAAACCCCTCCTAGGCCCTCCCCAACCTGTGAAACAGGAGCTTTATAGTGTGGTGAGTAATTCCCTTTCCTCCTTCCCAGCCTTCTTTCCTTTCGCACAGTGGCATACAGCTTCTAGCTCAATTACAAAAATAACTGGGTAAAGAATAGATCATTAAAGACACACTAATGGGGGACAGCTCAACTGAAAGCAAGGAGATAATTAATCTCAACTGGCCAAAATCTAAAGCTATGAAGATAATGTTTAGAGACCTCTTCAAATGATTTAGAGCAGGGCTTCTCAAACAAAATCGACAGGCATAGGTCCTCAGAGCTTGTTAAAGTACAGCCTGATCTCCGCGTCTGAGCTGTGGCCTGTGTGTCTGCATTTCCAGGAAACAGCTGGGAGAAGCTGATCCTCGGGTAGCAAAGGTCTCAAGGTGTGTACTACAAACTTCGTAAGAGTAATTGCCCACCGTGGGAGTGACTTCTAAGGGCTGGCTGTGCCTGGGTCAAAGCATGGAGCAGCAGGATCAAGGATGGATCATACAGCAGAGAAGAAAGACGTAACTGAGAGTGTCCACATGAGCTGGAGGCTGGTGGTTTTGTGACTGAAACTACGAAGTTGAAGCCCAGCCCCTCAGCAAGCTACAGAGAGGGACTTGTTCCTGCTGACTGCCTTGTGGAATGCTGGGTCCAGGTGCTGGCCACGCCCAAGTCAGCAAGAGACCTAACCACAGAGTGGAGGTGTTACACGCCCTCCCTTGTCTGCCTTTGCATGGAAAGAAATCGTCACATAACTTCTTTATGGAGCAAAGCACAGGGGGAACACAGTAGATTCTACTCACATCATCTGCAGTCACAGTCATCACACTCCTGCTCTTCTTCATTATAGAGGTGGGAAAGATGTCCGTTAGCAAGGCTGCTGTTTAACGCAGTTGCACTGATAATTGTTAAGACCTACAAGAGAAAAAAGATACAATAAAGGTACAGCTCCATACCTTTAAACAAAAAAATGTGGCATCTTCTCAAAACTCACATTTGAAAGGTGTACAATGCCCATGTATAAGCAGATAACACAATTTGCCAAGCCAATTAAATTTGACATGCTGAGAAGGAAGCTCACAAATTATCTAATCCAAGGGGTTGGTACAAAGACATTTGGGAAGAGAGAATAAACAAAATAGAGGGTAGCAATTAGGCTCCCAAATAATCAATGACCATAAAGAATATAAAATAATATGCATTTGCATAAAGCTTTATAGCTTACGAACTACCTTCCCATAAAATAGTTCATTTGGTCCCCATAACATCTATAAAACTATTTGCATGAATTTTTTCTAAAGAGAGAAGAAAAGGCCAGAAAAGTTATTTGGCCACAGTAACACCATTAAACAATATCAGATTCAGAATTTTGAAAATATAACTCCTTTGTACTGTCAAAAAGAAAAAGTAAACCATTACCAAAAAATGCCCATTGGGGAAAAATCATAATCTCAGTCTTTACCAATAGTTTAAATCTTTCAATTATGTAAATACATAAAGCATTTGTCATAGGTAATATTAGCAACCAATATTCAGAAAAAGCTAGAACTTCCTGGTTTAAACCATCAACCTGGCTCTTCTGTGGTAGAGATGCAGCAGTCACGACATCTGTTTTATGTAGGTCATTGAAAGAAACAGAAAAGTTCAATGACATTACCAAAGTTTAATTGCACACCCTGGTTCTGCAGGTCCAGAGGAACACTAGTCCCTGGTTTATAAAAGCTCAAGCTGTTAAAACAGGTTCAAAATTAAATTCCTGTCATGCAGTAGATGAAAGGAGAATAGGAAGAATTCTGAGTCTGCAGAATTTAACTGGAGACAGACACACCATACAATGATCAAGTCCGGGAAGCATCAGTCCATATGGCAGTTTCACAAGATTTGGGTATAAAAAAGCTCCTGTACTGTTGCTGAGCCAAGAATTCCTATATATTGCTCACTCTTTATATTTAAAAGCTTAATCTATGCCTGATTTGAAAAGGCTGCCTCTCTAACATGAAGATATATATAGATTAAGAGCATGATGGAATTATAGCTATGTGACTAGGAATACTAAGTAGTGGTATTGTATCATCACCCGGGAAACCAGGGTTGAATGTCTAACACATAATTTGACTATATTATGCAGAAGTTGGCAGGAAAACTGACAAAGTAGATAAGAGAGCTGGGGGAGGGAGAAATTTTCCCTTTGCCTTTGTAAGTGCAAGGGAGAGAATCTCGGAGGTTCTTCAGGTATTTGATTCAACCTGTCAAGGAAAAGAATTTCCTCAGAATACATCAAGGAGTGACTACGAATGCTGTGCTCTTCTAATGCCAACCAAAACACAGCAGGCAGAAGGTAAAGCCTATACTCTACGGCTACTTGAAACCAAGCAACAGTAGGTCAGGACCAGACATTTTATCACAGAGTTCCCCTTAATCTCAAGTTTCTTTATAGGGCTTACCTGGAAAAAAAAAAAAAGTTTATACTTCTAAGTTTTTTTTAAGCAAGAGTAAATTCAGCTCTAAATGTGGTATATATATATATGTATACACACTCAATGGCTATAGCCCTTTGAAAATGTGAATATAAGAAAAATATTAAAGAAAGGAAAACAGTAAAAATTGATTCTGGGTTTTTGGAGATTTTCTTTTTGCTATTAAATAATGGGTAGAACGTGTTCAGTGAAGATTATGTAGAACTATATGGTGTTCAAAAATAGAGAAAAAGATGTAATGTGTCAAGAATGTGATACATATAGGAAGATACCACAGTAAGGAAACTTATGATAGCCAGAGAAAAAAATGGTCCAGAGGAATATCAGCAGATCTTGTTGACAAGCAAGAGTATTTCTGTGAGTCCTCAAGCATGAAAATGAATTCTTTTTTTTTAAGAAAGCCAAGTTTTTGTGTGTGATTTTTTTTCAGTAGCGGGGATCGAACTTGGGACCTTGCGCTTGTGAGGCAGTTGTGGCGCCACTTTGCTAAATCCCCAGCCCTGAATTTTATATTTTATAATTCACTGAGTGTAAGAGTTCGCTGAATGAATTCCTGTCTTCAACCAGAAACATGCCCTAGCTAAGAAAAAGCAGGATTACAAGTTACAAGGCAATTTTCCAAATGTTCTACAATAAAATATGTTTATATTCAGAAAAAAACCCAACATCTGTTATAGAAGAAAAGAAGAAATAAAGCAAGAAAGACAGATGTTTTTCCTGCACATTCCTCATCTGCCCCTCCAGACCACACTTCCTCCTTCTCCAGCCTCTCCTGTGCCCTGGGAGGCCAACTCTAGGTGGCTGTGCCCAGGGCTCCACCAGCATTCCCACCCCTGATATGTTCGGCCAGTGGGAGGCAGCTAGTTTCAGAGGATCTCTCGATGACCAGAGGAGAACCATGGCTAAAGTCCTGCACTGTCAAAGTTACCTCCTCAGGCACCATCTTTAGGCACAGAACTGGTAGAAACAATGGTTTCCAACTGTTGTTAGCATCAAGGTGATTCATGGCGCCATCTTGGTCATGCTCAACCTTGGTTCATTTTGTAAACACCTCTTACCTTAATCTCTCTTTCACTCCCTTTGGGATTTCAATCTGTTTCTCATTAGAGTCCTGCCTAATAAAGGCTTGATCTCAAGACATAGAAAGCCACAGGGTAATTTTTAAAATATCCCCTCTCAGTGCCTAGCATGGTTACTGACACAGGTAGTGTCTCCACAAATTATTGTCCCAAGAATAAATGGTTCCAAGTCAAGTCTAGTTAAAGTTCTTGAATGGTTTTAGTACTCTGGGGAAGTGCCAACAGGTATTATCTCAAGTTGCTTTCATGAGGCAGAAATAATTTTATGTCCTCACTCATGGATAGCAATTTTGATTTTGTTTGGGAATTGTAAGAAACATAACAGGGATTGTACGTATTCTATAGCTGCCGATTTTTCAGTCTTCTTGCCTTTTGTGTAGATAAACACAGACAAAGGATTTACTTTGTGCCTTTTAAGCACTCTGCATAAGTGATTTCAAAGATCTCTTAAGAGCATCAACCAAATGAGGCAGGCATAATTATCCCGACAGATATGGAAATCAAGGCGTAGAATGGTAATGAAACATGCTCAAGGTGACGCTTTCCACAGCTTAAGATTGAAAAACAAAAAAACTTCTAGTTCTAAAACCAGGCCTCTTAACCCATCACCATACAGCTGGCTGGGTCTTACTAAGCTCTTTGTAAGGTGGAAGTGAGTGAAATAATTTCATTTTTTTATTTCTTCTGATGTTGGAAGTACAATATAGGTTGATTAATTTTCTAGAATGGTGCTCTTAACAGTAGAAAGGAAAACAGTATTTTAAAATATACTGAAGTTTTAAAATTTGTCATATTTAAGAACAACATTGTCAAATAAGAGGTTACATTTTCTTAATTTAAGATTATTCTTCCAATATAAAATTTACTTCCCAGTACATAGAACATAAAGTATTTTGTTAAAACATTTTAAGAATGTCTAAAGTGATAAGTGTGGTGACTATAAATTTGATTTCTCACATATTTCAATAATTTATTCCCCAACTTAAAAGATTTTTTTAAATGTGTATTGAGCATTCTGTTACATCCAAGCACTGTGATAGTATTTATCTAATTTCACCTTTTCTGCATTTCTCTTTCCTCATGTGATTTAAACCCTGAAGTTAGGAAGAGGACCCGCCTGTTATAGCAATTGTGAGAATTTGACTCTTAACAGGTTCTAGTTATCAGCTCTATCAATCACAGCCTGATAGGAATTTTAGTGGATACTCACAATTATTTAAAAACTCTAGGGCCAGGGATTTAGCTCAGCAGTGCTGTGCCTGCCTCACACATGTGTCAGGACCTGAGTTTGATCCCCACTACTGAAAAAATCAAAACAAAAAAAACTAAATCATGATTACATGCTAGACCACACCACGTAGAAAGGAGAAAAATAAAGGTGATATTTGAAGTCTTCAAGAACACTACTCTTTCTGTTACAAGCTGTCCTTTGTTCTGGAGATGGTGTTCAGTAAAATTTCATCTAAATGCTTAGATTTATGGAACATTCTGAACTTGGTAGAGTACAGATATGAATGAACTGGCTTTTAATTTTTCTCCAATAACTGTTTCCCATCTGCAATATCAAATCTATTTCCTCTTCCTTAACAGCAGCTCAGATGGAGACCATGACTCCAGGGGTTTTTCTGCAGGGAGAGGGCTGAAGATTGAACCCAGGGCCCTCCACTGAGCTACATCTCCAACCCTTTTTATTTTTTGAGGCAGGGTCTCTCTAAGTGGCTAAGTGGCACAGGCTGGGCTCTAACTTGAGATCCTCCAGCCTCTTGCTCCCAGAGCGTTGCGATTACAGCTGTGCATGCACGCAGCTCATCTTACAATGCTTTCAGTCACATCTCCTTCCCCTTTCACACTCATTGGCCAGTGGACGGGATTTGGAGCAAGAAGAGGAAATCATCTTCATCCTCCCTCCCTTGTTCTTTGGGTTCTAACCCTTCCACACCATGGCAGAGTAGAAAAATTAGCAAAAGAGGGCACAATCCTGCTTAACTTGATCTTTGACATGGACCTCTTTTAAGTGCCACTGCAAAAATCTTTGGCAAAAATCAGACTACGCTGATGCCTTCTCTAAGGCAGATACACAAAGGCTGACTCTTCTGAGGAGTGAGTAGGAGGCTTCGCAATGGGAAGAAATCACTCTGCTGTTTCCCAGTTCGAAGCGCCCTGGCCCACCTGAAGTCTTGATGACAGGTTCTCCCAGCCCAGGAGAGTACGCTCTTGAGTGGTAATGGGGTGACAGCTCAAGCCTCAGGGTCCAGAACAAGATGGGAAGGTACAGGCTGCTTTAATGCA